CGTGATACACTTTCTGGTGTACTCATGTGAGTTTGCCCTCAGTGAGGGCACTTCAGCAGAACGTAGAACACGGGGAGCAGGACTGTCGGACTCTCCAAAATAGAACCAAAAAAAAAAAAAAGCCTTTGGCTGTGATTGCAGTTGGATACACTTTTTGGAGTACTCGTGCAAGTTTTCCCTCAGTGAGGGCACTTCAGCAGAACGTAGAACAGCAGGGCTGTCGGGCTCTCAAAAGAAGACAACAAAAAAACACCAACAATGCTTTGGCCGTGAAAGTGGTTGGATGCATTTCAACGTCGCTAGTGTGAGTATGCCCTCAGCGAGGGAGCAAGGCAGCGCCAGGAAGAAAAAAATAAAACGAGAAAAAAAGGAAAAACAGAAACGTTTTTTTGATGTCTTTTCACGACATCATTGCTCTCTGGCATGTTTGTTCCTTTCTTTTCTTTTCTTTTCTTTTGTCCCTTCAGGCAGACCGCCGGCACCAGTGCCACTTCCGAAATTCCCACTGCAGGTACCCTCACTCAGAAGGCTCGGAAAATAGTGGCGTGCGGTGGGCAGTCCCACTGCAGGTACCCTCACTCAGAAGGCTCGGAAAATAGTGGCGCGCGGTGGGCAGGTAGGTTCGGGATTTTAGGTGCGGGTGTACTGGTGGTTTAAGTCACAATGTACATCGTATGTCCACTCATGCTTCCTTCCATTCAGCCGAAGGAGTCCTGGACAGCACTCGTTGCAAAGAACAGGTCCTTATGGCCCTGGCTCCGTATCCATTCTGGGCAGTGCTAGTCTGGTTCCTTTCCTTCTCTAAGTCACAATGTACATCATATGTCCACTCATGCTTCCTTCCATCCTGGACAGCACTCGGATTACTCAATGTTTGGAGGATTGACTGTCAGCTTGCGATGTGTCCCTGCCGTTCTCTCAGATCCTTTCCGGAATCTGTCAGATTGAACTATGCTATTAAGATCATCATATTGGCACCCGTTTGTCAGGTCTATATGGGTACTCGTGGTTCTGTTCTGAAAGGCTTCAGGCCTCAGTGGCGCCCGGTAGAGGCTGCTCTCTGCCGTGAGTGAAGGCCTGGCTGTTAGAAATGCTGCCAGGCCTCTGGGGAGGCTGGAGGGAGGTAGTTGGGAGGAAGGCTGAACGCAGCGTCTCCAACTAACTGGTAGGCACAGCCTCCSRGTTAGTTGAAGAGGCTGAGGCCCAGGCACCAGCCTGGAAGCTGCCCTGAAAGTTCTGAGACTGGTGGGAGGCCAGCACCAGCCAGGCTGCCTTGGCCTCCAGGAAGTACCGGCTGAGGCAGCCCACACATTTGCAGGCCAGAGCATTCCACAGATTTGGAGGCCAAGGCAGCCCACACATTTGGAGGCCAAAGCAGGAAGGGCCACACATTTTGAGGCTCTCGCTGCCAGTTCCAGCTCTGAAGTAACAGATGCATCCACGCCCCTGAGCATTGACGAAGGAGAAGCGGAGCAGCAGTGATGGGCAGGTGCTCCTGCTTAGCGGCAGCCAAAGGTACACCAAGGGGGAAGAAGGGGTGCTGMTGCTGGGGTGATCAGGGGAGAAGGACAGCGGTGGCAACAGGCAGATTTACCTGGCGATGGCCAGTGAGCACACTTCGGGTGGTCAGAAGCTGCAGCATTGTTAGGTAGGAGAGAGAGAGAGAGAGAGAGA